AATAAATTTGCAGAGCACAAGCCCACGCCCACGCCCACGCCCACGCCCTGGTCGAGCCCAGGGCAAGAAAAGTAAAACAAGAGCAGCTGCAACTGCAACTGCAGCTCCCAGAACACTTTTTTCCTTGTTGTCCCGCTGCTGTGCTAGCTCATTGCTCGCCAGTTGAAATGTAACGGATGCTGAAATTTATACATGCATACATAGATATATAGGTATGTAAGCATCTATAAACAGGATATGACAGGCAGCAGGAAGCTGTCTGCCAGCTATCCCAAGTGCAGCTTCTACTAATTCAGCTGGTTTTTGTGCTTCCAGCTTCCCGGGCTGCCTTTGGGCGTTTCTAAACGCCGCCTCGGAGCCTGTTGAGCAACAAAAACAGTTCCTCTAAATATTTGATGCTCTGCATGAACTGCTACGCATATTTATTGACAAATATGCGCATTGCACGTAAACGAGAATCCTGCGAAAATACTTCAGGATGCTCCGCAGCATGGCAGCATATTTGTTTAATTTAAAGCTTTCCGTTTTGCTTCTTCGCTCTGTAAGCATGACATAACTTTCCTTATCTACTTGAAAACCTTCTATTTGCTTGTTCACAAGACCAAAACTATGTATATAAAGCTGGTTTCTCATTCCCACATCTTAATTTTTAATCTTTACTTAAATTTGAATTTCTTATATACTATATATATTGTTTCAAAAATATTTAATGAATATATGTTTAATACAGTTGCACGTCGTTCATTTGGCTCAAAATTTTATTTTGATTTGCTTCAAAGTCCTCCTATTCGAATGAGGGCACGCTGTTTAATTGATATTAATTATAGATTCATTTTCATATATAATACTATACTACTATATAAAATCTGAGCCAACACAATTTTGATTTTTTTTTTTTCCTTGAAAGAATATGAAAAAAAAGCAAGCTTTTGCTTGGTATATATTGCAAAAAAGAGAATTTCAAAAGAAAAAAGAAACAATATCGGAGACCAAATATCAATATTAATTTTATTATTACATATAAACGCCCAAGGTTTATAAGAGTTTTTCAGCTAAAATTACATATGTTCGCATGTTTGATCAGTCTGTAGTACCTGCAAAATTTTTCCATGGATCAGGCTTTACACATAAGGCTTTTATTGCGTTTTCCCTTCAATTTTTTATGCCATTCACGCTAACTTTATTAGCGATTTTTTAAGACCAAATAAATTTCAAATAAATAAAGCGAAAATAAAGGCTATATAAAGCTAGGCACAAATAAAAGATTGAGTGGGTGTACAATTTTTTATTTATTAGCAATTCACATGAAAAGAAAGGAATGAAAGTGGGAAAACTTTTCAACGAAAAGCATCAAAAATTTATCGCTCGCAATGCTCGAAATTGTCAAGTCAATATTTTAAACATAAGAAGCGCATTATTCGCATTATATCGGTTAGTTACGGCCAGCGGAGAGTACGGACTGTAAATCTGTGGACACACAACTAGCACGAGTTGCGTATAAATCACGTATACGCAATGTTTTCCAATTGGTGAATACTATAAATTACAGCGTCGACACAATAAACAACGCAGACGAGATGAGAAAGAATGATGGAGAGGGGAGAGAGAGAGAACGTTCTAAAGCTGAAAATAAACCGCAAATGCGAGAGAAGAGTGAGAAGCAGGAGGGAGAGAAAAGGAGAGGGAGAGCACTCAGCAATGCTGCATTTAATTAGAAACGACTTTAAAGTAGTTCTGAGAATAATGTTACTTAAATAAACTTGACAGAGTTTCTAGTCGAAGTTTTCGCATATTTTACATATAGTTTAAGTTTAGTTCTTGATGCATTGCTTACCGTTTGTAATGCTCAGATTATAATCTGGCAAACAAAATCATAAATAAACAAAAGTCTTATAAAAAAAAAAAAATGACTCAACTGAAGTGCAACAGCGCGAAAATCAAAACATCAAAACTCAGCAGAGCCCCAACAAGATGAGCAAGAGACAGAAGAAGAAGTAAAAGAACATGAAGAAGAAGAATAAGAAGGAGAGGAATAGCAACAACAACAACAATAATTGAAAAGAAGCAGCACAAGAGTAGCTTTTGAGCAACAACTTTATCCAATTCCTCGCTGCGCTCATGCCTTGTCCCTAGGGTATGTTCACTGTGTGAAGAATGATGTAACGGTCGAAGGTCGAAGATATTTTTAGCATGAACCAGATATACGTTAGGCGTGTCTTATAAAAATAAATTTAATTATATTATGACAAACAGGGATAAAATTAAGCAGAGAATGTGTAAAAAATATATGTTAAGATAAATTGATTAGATATATGTATCGTATAATTAAGAGAGTCTTACAAAGTATTATGATATAAAATGTGAAAGCATTCTTTAACGATTATATTAAATGATTATATATTTTTTTTTTTTTTTTTTTTTTTTTTTTTTTTTTCAACTACATTATCCTCAGCAGAAACTAATTATTTAACCTAATATGATATTGATAAGATCGGTATACATATATATTTATCTTGCCAAAATAAATCTGCGAAATGACAGATTTTGATCAGATTTGTATAAAATATAAAGCACAGGTCTGACTACTCTATCGTAAACAACTTATAAGTTATATGTAGATAGATCTATGTTCATGGACTAAAAGTTAGAGTAATTCAACTTCATTATATATGTATGTTCATTTTGTTTCTCGTTCTACTTTCCTTTTTGTTTTTGCTCAACGCTGAGGCAAGGCATACAGCGCCTAAGCACGTACAAATCGCATTTCTTAGGCGATAGTCTTATCCTTTTTTATGGCTGTGCGGGTGTATGCGTGTATGTGTGTATGTGTGGGTGTGTGGGTGTGACTGAAAGTATGCTACGGCAAAAGGCAACGCTTGTTTGGCTGTCAGATTTACTTGTCTACTCTCGCATTGCCATTCCCTCGCGCTCCCTCCTTGGTGCTATGCATCCCTCTCTCTCTATCTCTCTCTCAGCCACCCACTCTCGCTCACTCCTTTATGCTCCAAGTGTGTGTCTGTGTGTGCTATAAATTGACAGCTAAATCTGCAAAAACATGATAAGACTAGCGACATGCCAATGCGGCCAAGGACTCCCTCCGCAACCCTGCCCCGATGTGTGTGCTATCTGTGTTTATATCTGTATCTCATCTATTTGGGCCAGGCCTCTATATCTATCTACTTAACCCAACAACAATATAAACAACAACAACAACAACGACAACAGCGACAGCAACAAATACAACCAAATATTTTGGGCTGCGAAATTGCTTTTCGATTTATTTTTATATGTCTGCCAAGTTGCGAGCATTGTGACAAATTAGTCTTAACTTTTTTCTCTTCCTGCTTTGTTATTGTTTATTGTTGTTGTTGCCGTTGTTGTTGTTCTGTTTTTGCCAACTTGGCAAATTTTTATAAGATTTTTATCAGTCCCCAATTCTATAGAGCAAACAGTTAGATTCTCAGCTAAGCGTGGCCAATAAATTCAACTGATTAAACTCTTGATTAAACGCTTATATATGATTATATACGAGGAAAGGATACAAAATTAAATTAATTTTATTTACTGCTTTGTTATTCGTGAAAATATGAAATACAAAAATAATCATTTGCAATCTTGTGTCAACATGATTACTAAATATTTGACTAAATTCAATATCAAATACGAATAGACCTTAGAAAGAAAATCGTAACTCAAAAACATCTAAAACGCTTTTAAATATTTAAAAGACAACAAACATATTAATATTAAATAAAATGTATTTAATGCATGAGATACTTAGTTAATTAATGTGTTTAAAATATATAACACAAGAAAAGTAAAGAGCAAATTAAATTTTTAATTTAGAGACGGAATAAATTCTGACGGACAAGAAATGGAACAAACAAAATTAAATAGAAAATGTTATTACTAAAATAAATAAATAAAAGATACATGTTTAATATATAAAATACTAAGTGTATACTAAGTATTAATCTCATGCTCTCTTTTCATTCGTAC